GTATACGCTAGACTAGTGGCCGCTTGTCATACCCTGCACGTATATTATATACACCACGAAACTGGCTATATTCAATATAAAAAGTTAAAGAATAATTTTATATAAAAATATAATAATATAATCTTAATAATAAATAGAGTATAAAGTAAAGAATAGTATAATAAAATAGAATAATATAATAATTAACTTTGAGTTCTTAATTATCTTCGAATAACTAATCGAATACTAGATATCTCCTTTTTTTTTTCTTTCTTAATCTATTACTATTATCAACTATCGTCTTTCCGAGTCATTAATATAAAATCCATATAAAAACCAACGAATCATATTCTATCCCTAATATATTCCATCTTGTCCCATACTCCCCCTTTAAAATTTAAATATCACCGGTGGATCTATGGTATACCACGTTTTAACCGGAATTACCATGTGTTCCACCGGTACATACTGGGTATACTGTGCATAGGTAGCCTTATTACATACTTTACATGAAATATTTGCAGTTATACAACCAAACCATACCATTTAAGAAGGAATTACCCATTACACTCATTTACCTTACCTCACTTGTATTATACAGTAGGTGACTTCATTTATTATTACATGCATTTTACATCGGCTACAGTATAACATTTAGCTAAATTCAATTCATTCTTACAGTACTCACTCGTACATACCATACCTAGAGCACCCACCCACCTACCCATCAACCAAACCAAACCAAACCAAACCAACCCAATCAATTATACTCAGTACTGAGTAATTAATCATGAAGGAGTCAACCCACGAATCATTAGCCCAAGAAATAGCAACCATGAGAGAGCAATTAAGTAAAGTCAGCCAAGCAATTGATATCTATGAAACAGTCGCCACTCGAAATCTGATCAGAGAGGATATTAAATCCAAGGGAGAAACCAGCGAAAAGCATGTTAAGCTTTTCATGGAAACGGATAGGTTGATGAAGGCAGTGAGGGGACCTGTTGATATGGTATTTTCCAATTTCGAGAACGTAAGTTCTAGTGTTACTTGGTAATCCAAATCATTTGACTTTGTGAATAGCAGCAGATATGAATTTATATGGGTAGAGCTAAAGGGATATGCAAGAAGGCTAACTGATTTAACTTTTTGTCACATGTGAATAGTCAGTACATTCAGGAACGTTAAGAGCTGTTTTGGAAATGGGTATATTTGATGCTTTACCGACGGATGGTTCATCGGCCAGTGCTACTTTATTGGCGGAGAAATTAGGGGTAGAGAAAGAATTGCTTGGTGAGTGTTTATATCCCACCACGAATATGTTTGTAAACTGAGTTTGGGTAAGTTCGATTCATGCGAGTCCTAACCGTCATCGGTCCATTCGCCGAGGTGGGAGTAGAGGAATATACACATACACAATATTCAATGGTATATCTTGCTCCGGAGCTCAAGGGAGTTTTTAAGTTAATGTCAGAAACCCTCCTTCACCACAACTCATTAGTTAATTCCTACGTCAATCCTGTCAATCAGGACATAGACTCTTTCAAAATATTTCACAAACTGCAATTAGTTTCCTCTAATATGAAAAAATAGGTACGATGAATATAATCTCGCCAATGCTCGGATGTATGCGTTCTTCCGCAATAATGGCTTTAAGAGTCCAGAAGATCACTTCTTGAATCCGTATTGCTTCGCTCATCAGACTGGCGAGAAAGATATGTGGGAGCATATCGGAGCGTTCCCAGAGCGATTCCAGAACCTAAATCTAGCCATGATTGCTCAAACCGTAGCCACAAATTGGACTGTTGGAATTTTTCCATTCAAAGATGAGCTCAAGGGAGTCAAATCAGACGACGAGACCGTGCTGGTCGTAGATATAGGTGGTGGTAGTGGACATGTGACGAAGCAGATAATGGGATTCATCGAGGATATTCCTGGAAAAGTGATACTCCAGGAACGAGAAGAGTTGATTGATGCGATTGGTCATATAATACCAGAAGTCACTATGATGAAGTATGACTTCTTCACGCCTCAACCTATCCAAGGTATGATGAATAGCTCTCTTCGTTCCGAATCCTGTGCCACATGCTGCATGCTTGATCGCTGACACAAATTAGGAGCTCCAATATACTACATTCGTCGATGTCTACACGACTGGCCCGATAATGATTGTGTACGCATTCTCAAGGTGATTGCAGCAGCAATGACGTCGGGAGTCTCGAAATTGGTAATCTCCGAAATCGTTCTTCCACCAGTTGCTGCAGATGTCGAAGCTGGTTGGATGGACGTGACAATGATGGCTATCAGCGGCCGTGAAAGAACGGAAATGCAGTGGGTGAATTTGCTGACTCTTTCGGGCTTGAAACTTCAAAAGATTCATCATGGTCCTGGTACAAATTATGCCGCAGTCGAGGCAGTCCTGGCGTAATTGTTTGTAACAATTTCGGGCATTTGGAAAGCATAATCATACAAGATACCATTAGGTGAGTGGTATATGATACAGGTATATAGGATTTAAGAGCCTATGCCGACTCTAGGTATGTTCCTGCGAGCCAAACGAGTGAACAACCTGCTAAAGCCCATGCGCCCACGGCTTTCTTCCCCCACCAAGAATTGTCCACCTCAACCTTTGCAGCACGTATTCTGCGTGTTGGTTGACTTTCGAAAAGGGTTGTAGAGGATGTAGAATTCTTCGACGCCACTTCAGTTCGCTCACGTAGCTCGGCAATCTTCTTGCCCAAAGATAATAGATCCTCTCTCCATTCCGTGTCGTTTGCGATCTTGTCAACTTCCACGTTTTGTACATTGCCGAAGAAGTCCATTAATAGTCTTTCTCTCCCTCTTTCCTCTCCACCTGGGAAAAGATCCCATCTGACACCTGGATGCGAATGAATCTTTGCCTCGTCATAGCTATCAAACAAATCGCCCAATGTCTTCTTGCTGCCAGGTTCTCGAACCTGAGTTTCAAGGAAGTCCAGATTGTAGTATGTGTATCGATCAATGACGGCTACTCCAACATCATTATCCGCATGATGAGAATATGAGGACTGATCAATTTCCGAAGAGCCCGTTGCAATTATATTGGGAGAGTAAAATTTGCTGTACATGGTGTTCGCTTGGCATGTATCGATCATGAAAAGTAATTCGTGGTACCTTTAAAATAACAATTAGCATACAGATTGCTCGTCAAATGAAGTGTAGCAAACCTCTTCTTCTCCCACATCTGCTCAAATGCATCCGCCAAGTCGAATGCACTAATTTCCTCCGCGTCTTGAAATTTCAAGAACTCATTCCCACCATGACCTGTCATGTAAACCAAGATATTGCTTCTATCGTCCGTCAAAAGCCTTTTGCTCCTTGGCATTTCCTCCCCAACTCTGTCCGTTAACAGTCGAATAAAGTTCTCCACCGTGACCTCATATCCTCGATAGTCCACCTCGATATTATCTCCATATAAATCCACCGCGCGATCAGCGTTACTGTAGACTGTGCCGGGGAAGGCATTCCGAGGGTTACATGCCATATCATCGGGCAACATGAGAATAATCTGGGAATCCGGAATCCCTAGTCGTTTGACTGTGCGATAGAGTGAGAGAACATTTGCCAAATGGCGATAATTGAACCAGAATCGTGAGGTCGATACGAGAACTGCCCAATTGCTTGTATGCTCTGCGGCGACGGGGATAGGTGAGAGTAAAGGCGCAAGCACCAGAGGAAGCCGGAGAAAGCTGGATAGCTTCATGATTTGTTGTATTTAAGTGTAAAAAGGTGGAAGGGAATGGCGTATGCAGGAGAAGGGCACATGAGCTTATCAATCGTGTGAGAGCTCTCTAGGTAGGTATGAGGTATGTAAGAATGTAAGCAGGTACTAGATTATGTAATCTGACTCTTGGGAAGGAAGTTAAAAGTTGATGCCTTAAAATAATTCACTATATAACAGCTACTTCTAAGGCCACAAACTATCACATGCTTGCTTGGTAGGTATCTACCGGTACCTGGTAGTTTCAAGTTTCAACTGCCCCGCCCCGCCCCGCTCGACCCTTGATTAGACATTTCTCTGACACTTGAGGTTGCTTATTATTATTTTGCACTTATGTCGATGGCGGTTTGTCAAAATTCTTACTAAAAAACTAAAAACTTTTGACAATCAATTCAACGAGCCATCTGTATCTTTGGCTATATGTTGTGCTATTGAAGATATCTTTTCAAAAAATAACAACAATGGGTTGGCCACCGGCTGTTATTATTGTTGTCAGGTAAGATATCTCTCAGGTCCAAAACCAAAACTTCATATTCCTCCCAAATATCTGGTACTACTGCTCTAGTAAACCAATATTGATCAGCCCTGTTCTATATGACACCTTTATAGAGCTTTGTTTCGTGGTGTCTGACGTCTAATCTTCTTCATAGGCATGGTGCTCGCCTCGACCAAGCAGATAATCAATGGTACTTGACGACCCCAACTCCATACGACCCGCCACTTACATATGGTGGATGGACGCAATCAAGAGCTCTTGGAGCCTGTATAGCGAACATACTACGGACTCGCGAGACGGACGATGAGTTTGTTGGTAGTGAGGACCAGAATGGAAGCAACAACAGGAAGAGAAGGCATAAAGTGGTCATACATACATCCCCGTTTTTGCGCTGTGTTCAGACATCAGTCGCCATAAGTGCTGGTCTTGCACAAAATCCTGGTCACACACATCAACATTCGCAACGTTCTTCTTCCGCACACTCCCAGCACAAAAGCTCGCAGATGCACTCTTCTCCTAGAGTACGTCCTACGCTTTCAACAGACTCCCCCAGACTGGCCCCACTCCTGGAGACTACAGCTCTGACGCCCAGTTCAAGTAGTAGCATTATTGGACAGCCGGATAATATTAGGAGATCGATAATACGGGTCGATGCGTTCCTTGGTGAATGGTTGGCTCCGGATTACTTCGAGCATATTACCCCGCCTCCAAGTTCCATTATGATGGTAGCTGGTGCCAAAGCGGATTTATTACGAAGAGAGGATTACAATAGCTTGATACATGCGCGAGATTTCTCAGCACAAGGTTCATCATTCCAACCATTTCCAGGCGGATGGGGAAGTCCGGTGACAATCGAGAAGAAGGAATTGCCATCAGTCTCGAGTTTAAGCCATACGCTACCCAGAAGAGACCGAACGAGCAGTCTGAGCAGTGTCGGAAGCAACGGGAACCGTCAAGGATTAAAACCAGACGGTAATTTGCCCACGTCCGAGCACGGTATTTATCAGCCACCTGTTCCGAGTTATGCGATTTCTACATCCGATCCTATACCACCGGGATATGTTACCCATGCCAGAGATGCATGTGTTGATGTCGATTATCAATGGGATAGCATGCGCGAGCCTCTAGACTGGGGAAATGGTGGTGAGTACGGTGAAGAATGGCCCTCGATGCATAAAAGATTTCGGAAAGGTCTGCACAGCATGCTAGATTGGTACAGCAGTAATGAGAATCCTGGAGAGATGGTCACCAAGACTCCTTCTAGTCCAGAGTTGGAGAAACAATTTTCTATTGACGAAAGTCATGAATTAGATGACACGGATCTTGTCCTTGTCCTGGTCACCCATGGCGCTGGATGCAATGCACTTATTGGAGCCCTGACTAACCAGCCCCTTCTAATGGACGTTGGAATGGCATCATTGACCATGGCGGTTCGAAAACCCACTCCCGAGAATACACCCGCCTCAAGCCCCGGTGCAACCTCTAGAGTGCATTCTCGTACAAATTCGAGAAATTTAACAATCGCAGACGATTATGAGCTAAAACTTTTGGCAAACACAGAACATCTACGCTCGGCCACAAACAGTACTGCTTCATCCCGAAACCCTTCCATCGCAAACCTGTCTACATTTCGCGATCGTCAGCATAACGACCCAAATCGTCCTACCGCCGTAAACTCCAGCCTCGGCAGTATTAGAAGGACAGCAAGTGTAGCAAGTTCCCAACCTCGAACATTTACACCGGTCACCAGGCAGTCATCAATTGGCCTATGGAGTGCTACCCCTCCGCTTAGACAATCCACTGATGAAAACGATGACACAGATGGTGATAGCATGATATTGAACTTTGGAGAGGATGGCACGAACTCAAAGGCATTGGTGCAGTCGGTCGTCGAAGAGGAAAACAAATCAGCCATAGCGAAAAATAAGGAGATAGAGACTAGTGCGTTAGAGGAAGATGAAGTTGCTCCCTTGGGCTTGTGGGGATCACCAAGATTGACGGCGAGTTCGGGTCCAGCTGTTGATCTGGATAAGACAGGTCATGCACCGAAGAGGAGATGGACGGTCGATGAAAGAATATGAACACCTCCAGCTAGTATTGCTCCGAAACCACTTCATGATTTTAGTCGCAGATTATGCGAATCGGCAGGCAAGAAGCCATAAGGGAGAACAAACCTGGGATTGACCACAGAAGAGTGCGTATGGTTGGTTGCTTTTGGACGGAGGGTATGGATGGATGGATGAGTAGACTATTATGATTCTTATTAAATCATCATTTTATTGGAGCGAAGCGCGGGCGTATGGTCTTGGGAGCCGATGTGTATGCTTTCATCGACGGGACGAACAAAAGATTCGGTCCAGATATGATACCACGTTCGGCTGAAGCAGTAAACTGCAATGACATGTTTACGCAGAGACAAATCCGTTTTTGCGGGCACTTTGGGGATATATCAGGGGAACACTGATTGGTTGTTATTGGTCACTCACTGCATGTATCATGGAAGGGGTCGTTTGGATAGCGATACCCCAAGGATTGTCTACATAATCAGATATCATTGCGCTCAAATTATCATCATTAATATTATTATAATGTCATGCCCGGGTGAAAATGCAGTGATGAAAGCACGATGCCACAGTCATGACATGTAGAGTTCTATGGGTAACCAAGGTAGATGTATCCTGCTTTGACATGGAGAATCTCTTTCGCATCTCGTGGATGATGCATCTAGTCGGATATCCAGCCCTCAAATAGATGTGTGATTTGCCCTGTGACAAAAAGCTCTAGCAACTTCCAGGTCACAAGTGGAAGACGACTTCCCGAATTCAATGGTCTCTATAGTATTGGTTAGCACAAGCCATTTCAAATGTGTAAATGTAAAAAAGTTGCAGTTTATCCAATTGCTCATTCTCAAAAGTGGTTTGTTCCTCATCAACGACCCGAAGGCTATATGAGTGGTGCATGAAACTCGTGTCTAATCATCGCGGGGTAGAAAGGAAAGGGAGAAGAAAAGCGCAAGAAAAACGTACGGGATATTAAAAACTATGGATTCAATAAGTTGGCTCTGCAGACAGAATTGACCTGTGCTATCGCAACCACGGTTCTCTTATGTGAAAAGATGTAAAACTGCCAATACTCGTCCAGTTGTATGCTCAATGAACTGTGATTGATAATTCAGAGCATTCTAAGAAATAAGATGGTCAGCTGGATTCAACCAAAATCTTGTAAAAGCGGAAGTAAAGTAGCTGAACAATCAGAGAGGCTCGCATGCGTAAAATTTGTAACCATGTATTTTGTCTTAAAGACTAATCGATTTTTATACTATCATCATAAAGTTGTGTCGAAAAAGGTGCAATAAAAGAGAATGTGTTTGACTTACCAGAGCTCGCGATCATATCCCTCAGTCATCATCATCATCAAACTCATCAAGTTGAAACACCTTCGGCCTCTCGGCAGCTGTGCCGCCTTGAACACCACTCATGGCATTATTCCTCCTCTCCATTTCCAACCTTCTCTTCTCCTCTTCTTGCATTCTTTCTGCCTCAGCTTCCCTTTCTGCCTCTTCGACCTTCTCCCTCTTCTTCTGTTCCTCAATCTCGGGATCCCATCCCTCAGGATCAATTCCGCTATCTACCAACACTTGCAGACTTGCCAATGCACCCATCTTGATATCATCTTCGCGAGCCCACGGCACAAATGGCCGGAGATCAAATCCTGTATTGAGAAGGCGCGTTGTCTCAGCATCAAGAGCTGTTTGAGTCTGAGAAGGTTGCTGTGACACTGGGTCTTGACTTGGAGCCAACGAAGTTGTTCCATTAGAAGGAGTGATGGAGGAAATATCCAAATCCATAGAAGTCCCATTCGCGCCATTGCCCATCACAGTAACGTTAGGGGTAGTACTTCCATTCGTCGCAACGCCATCTTGCTTTGACGATGTATCTTCTAGTTTAGACAATCGAGCCTCGGGCGGGACTGTGAATTTAGAGATTTTTCGCGCGTAGCTGAGAAGTTCTTCATACTCCACGAGGTTCTTATCCTCGGGGTATTCAGATGATGAGGTATTGAGAAGTTCACTCCTCGTGCTATTGAGGAGTAAAGTAAACTCGCGAACCTGGGTGTCGAGGGCTGCAGAGGTTGCGTGTAGGGTAGTGAGTTTGTAGGTGTTGTGTTGATGTTGGTTTACTGTAGACATTGGATTAATAAACAGCAAGACAACATCAGGTCGGGATCAGGTGAATAAGGAGACGTACGAAGAGATAGACCATCGTTGAGCTCTTGATCTGCGAGAACGAGATCTTGAGCCAGAGCGGGAACGGGGTTGTACTTGGAAATTGAAGCTATGAGGCTGGCAAGTGCTTTTTCTACACGATCAAATCGCGCATCAATTATTTTGTCCATTTTGATTGTTGTTGAAGAAGAGGAGGTGAAGGGAGGGGAAGGTTGATATATTTTTAGAACATATTTTGTTCTAGTATCGATAACCTAAATATAGGAAATCGAAGGGTTGTGAACAATGTCAAGTCCCTTTGAAGTGAATTAATTAATTGATTGTTGGAAAAAGGGTTGATAAAAAAGGAAGAGAGAGAAAGAAGAAGAAAATCAAATGAAGTATTAAAGATCAGAAATTTCATTGTGTAGTGAAAAGCTTTTAAGTAGAAAATATTAAGCGCGATCCACTTGAGTTTGCATGGATTCGGCAGCAATAAGCGCGACTCAATTGTACGGAGTACTCCGTAAATGACTTTGATCCATTCAATATGATGTTTATATCCATATGGTACATATTTTAAGGAGTATGTCGATAGATCTAGATAGAAACATCATGATCAAGACAGAACAGATAACCTTACATACAGCAGCAAAGCGAGAAACCGAGAAACATGTATGGTATGGTATGGTATAGTATGGTTATTGTGCTCAATGAAATTCTCCATCAATCACCTTGTCTTCCCGAGGAACATGATGAGATGATGATATTACCAGAGGTGAAGCTGATTAGTTCCTATCTCGAGAATAACAAGAATTTGATTGTCTTGTTGCTACGAGGAGATCTAAGGGTGTGGTGCCAGTGCATATTCAGATTCTTGTATCCAAAAACCAGACCAGATCATGTTTGTTTGAGAAAACTCAAATATCTTATTTATGTACTCTAGCAATGAGATTTGTACCAATATAGTTGTTTAGCTCATCTATGAATCTTGCACCGGACACGAATTTGTGTATATGTGATGACTAAAAGCTCATGTCGTCGTTGTTTAGTTTCTCTTCCATTCCTCTTCTGAGTCCTCTCCCTTCTTGACTCTGAACTGCAAATGAAGAGCTGAATTCCTTCCAATTTACTGTATGACACTCGGCAACCATCTCCCTCCACAAACTAATGGTCCTAATAAAGGCTTCGTAGTGAAATTGGTGGAGACAATCACTTTCCCAGCTCGGAAGCACGATAGCGCCAGCAGTTCCCAATAGTTCCCAATCGGCATTCCTCCATTGCTTCAAGTGCTCTCAAAAACCTGGCATCTTTGAAATCCGTCAGTATCTCGCAGCTAGGAGTTAAAGTCACCTTTAGTTCTGGGAGCTTCAATAAATAATCCATTCCGATGGTCATCATGTGCCTACATTAAACGAGGTCAAGATCATGAGAGAAGAGAAGAGCTAATATCGGATTACTCTACAATGTGATGTATCTATATAATGATTTGTGTATTTGTGCCTTGGGGTCAGTGGTGTCCATGGAATAAGAACACCTATTTACCAGTACACAGTTGGATGACCACTCCCATGCACCACCACGAACCTGCGTGGTATACTGGAAAGATATCAAAAGATTAAAGTGCTTACTTTACGAATGAAAGAACAGGGTCAATCTCTCTAATCAAACCCAGATGAAATCACGATAGCTTTTAGAGTAGCCGGACGGCTTATAATTTTCAAAACGCTGTGAGAATGTGGTCCAGCAAAGTAAAATCTATTTTTACCATACCGGTATACAATACATGTCACCCAGAATCAAACGCCGTCATACCCCGCCATATCTGTATCCGTTCCATCACTGTTGATAACTTCAATATCGTATCACGCCAATTGAAATAATATGCTTTAAAAGAATCATGAAAATCCAGCTCCATAGTACAAAGGCGTAACGCCCCCTTCCCAGTATCGTTCTAACCACACACCACGTCACACCATTGAGGATCTCATTCTTTGACGGAGAGGGACAGCGCAACCCGACGAAGTCGAGCCCTAATCAATTTTGATAGATCCATAAATCTTTTGCACGAAAGCCCAACAAGCGAAATATCCGATTGAACCTTGACAGCTCGTTAGTATCGTCTCAAATTGATCAATGGATAGACGGGACTTACCAGTGAGTATGAAAAACAAAAACGAAATCAGCGCACTATACCCGATGTAAAGTACACTCCCTGCCAAGCCACCAAGTTGCAGCTTCGTTACCCAGTAAATCATAGCGTTCGCGAAAACATATCCAGCACTTGCACCAGCCGTCAAGAATGCTCTCCAATGCCAATGGTAATTCTCGCTGCATAGCAAAAAATATATCATGAGAACAGTGACTGCGGCGCATGTAATAATCATGAGACCGTAGCACAAAAAGAGGAAGCCAAACATGTAGTAAACCTTAGAAAACCAGATGGATGACATGATGAAGTAAAGTTCGACAAAGATAGCCCCAAAGGGCAGGATACCTACGAGAAGCATCGAGGGAATCGGGCGCATGTAGGACGTAGAGGGGGGGATCTGACGTGGGATTTGGTTGGTGCGGACTGGAGAAGCGATAGGTGGTTGGCGGAACCCGACCCAACTTCCCGCAAATGATAGGGGCAGGGAAAAGAAGAACCAGATAGAGACAATGACGAGCATTGTTGTGAATGGTACTGCTCCCGAGGATTCTTTGGCCCAGAGAAAGAGATTAAGGAGGAAGAATGTGCTGAACACGATACCTGGGACGAGAGTTGGCGTCAAAGCAATGTTGAGCTTCCATTGTTCACCACCAAAAGACTTGTAAACTCGGGCTGAGGTATATCCGCCGATGAATCCAAGGACAGTGTATAGGAGGATCATAATAGTACCAAGAGATCCGCGATTGGAGGGAGAAAGGAATCCCAGCAGTGCGAAGGCAATGGTAAAGCCAGTCATTACAAATAACTGTGCTCCGTTTCCAAGGAAGACACTTAAAATCAATGGGCGTCCTGGTGTACGGAATACATCTCCGTGTACTAACTTCCATCCGGAATCTTCCTGAACTCCGTCTTCAACAACGGCAGATGTTCCTGACAAATCATCAAGGTTGATCGAATCGAGTCTGTTGTATCTTTGAATATCTTTTCTCAGAGTTCGCATGAGGATCGAGAGGACTGTGATGACGAGGAATACCACAATGACAGCCGAGTTGATCAAAGAGAACCAATGAATCTTGGGGTCAAAAACATGTAGGTACTTATCCCATCTGGTCGCCCAAGCTGTTTTTGATGGTTGCCACCATACACTATATGAATACGTAACAGCCGTCTCTCCAGACTCGGACAGTACCACTTTTGGTCCACCCGCACCGCACTCTGAATCGCCTGCATTCTCGTTCAACGTCCTGGATGAGGGTTGAACAATAACACCAACAACTCTCCTTTGACCGGCGGAAACCTCGTGGTAGTCGATGAAGATATCGTAATGATTGTTCAAATGCATATACTTCTGATCACTACTCCCCAAAGCAAATCCTTGACTATAAAACCTCGTTTGGGTGATTTCATCCTCAATCAATTGACCTGCTGGTAGACCGTCCACCAACCAGTTCAGCGCAAACCCTTGTTGTATCCTTCTGTTCACAAAATGTGCCGAGCTTTGATCAAATTTCTTCTCTCCGCAAAGTTGTGTACATGTCTCATTAACTCCCATCTTCAGGTTGAATGGCGAAGTCATTATGCGATCACCGAAAACGATACTGCCCAAACTTTCCGAGACATATTCAGGTTTCGGATCTGGTCTACAGAAATGGAAGGCTGGATGATAATAGTCGAAGGACACCACTGATCTTAGTTGTCCATCATCATAAGAACCAACTGGTGTGAGGCGATTTACGTATAAGGGAACTTTTGCGCCAGGTGCGTATGATGTTGGCGCAACACCAGGAAGATAGAAAGCGGAGGATAATTGTGGAGCGACTAAGAGAGTCGCAAACAAAGTCGCAGATGGTGTGAGGTCTTTTAAACGCATGATGAAAAGGATTTATCTGGCGATTTGTCAGTTTGACACGATTCAGGAGTAGGATAATAGTATTCGTGAGGGAAACATTTTCTTGAAAGGAGAGCTTACGAAGATCCAATCCAACCTTTAATATTTATGCTCAATTTAGCATGAAATGCCACAACCAAATGAACAATTAAATTCTCGCATATGAAGGGAGGTTTAAAAATCCCAAGAAATGGAGGTCAACTTCAAGAGAATGGCTTGGAGATATAATTGAGGATTTGAAACAAACCAATTAACTTGATGAACTGTTTACTGTTAAGGGAACTTGAATACCAGCTTGTCGACTAATCTGCCCTTGCCTTCTCGGTACGGATTAATATTTCACCGGCGCAAAAGAAATTTATCCAGAATTTCTTCTTCATTATTATTCATAGAGAAATGATACATTCAATTTAACCAATTGGCAATTGTCAACGACGACATTATGGCTGTCGAAACTTCTCTTCCAGCATTACTGACTACTCTTACTCAATCATTGAGTTCTGCCATTGAATCAACACCAGATAGTTCAGTCGTCAATCCACCTGCAGATGGCATTTCACTACTGGATGTAAAGAATGAGCTTCTTTTATCCTACCTTCAAAATTTAGTTTTTATCATAATTCTCAAGATTAGAAATCAGAAAGAAGATGTATCGGGCGAGGACGAAGAAGAATTAGATAACGCGGTGGTGAAAAAATTGGTGGAATTACGAGTATACCTTGAGAAGGGTGTTCGGCCATTGGAAGGTCGTCTGAAATACCAAATCGACAAAGTACTCCGAGCATCTGACGATGCGCTTCGAGCCCTTGCGCCTGCATCAAAAAGCATTCCGAAGAAAGATGACGTGTCAAGTGATGGCGATGATTCGAACTCTGAGGACGATATTGATGCGGATGGAAATGGAGTACCTCTCGAAACCGCTGCGATTGACGACCTCCAATATCGACCAAACCCTACATCTCTACTCAGACCTGCCGTTGCCGCAGAAGATGAATCGAAGCATTCCTCAGATGGTGTTTACAAACCTCCTCGCATCACTGCAACTGCTATGCCTACCACCGAACGTCGCGAAAAGAAAGACAGGAAAGTGAACAAGTCTGCAACCTTGGACGAATTTATCAATACAGAAATGTCTGCTGCTCCAATTGCAGAGGCCAGTATTGGTTCGAATATCATAGCCGGTGGCAGAAGATCGAAGAGCGACAAGGAAAAGAAGGAGGATGATGAGAAAAGAGAATACGAAGAGAGAAATTATACCAGATTACCAAAAGAGAGCAAAAAGGATCGGTCGAAGAAAAAGATGGCTGGTGGAAGACAAGATGCTGGATATGGTGGTGAGGAATGGAAGGGATTGGGTGAGGGTGTTGATAGGATTGAGAGATTGACAAAGAGAAAGAGCGGTAGTGGTGGTGCGATGAAGGATGTTCTAGAGCAAAGTAGAAAGAGGAGTGTCGAGGATGGTCCTAGAGGAAGTGGTATGCAAGTTGGTGAAGGCTTTCAGAAGAGATTGAAGATGCTGGATGGTGGAAGAAAGGATCGAGGTACGGGTAGAAAGTAGGTACTAGGTAGCTTTTCCCCCATGGAATTGGTTTCAATTTGGTTCTATGTCAATCAAATGTATAATTTTCAGACAAGCTTGCGGAACCCAGAACACCCCAGAGACTATGCATTATCTTCCAGGCTTTCAAGGAGACTTGGTCCAACAAAGTTGATGGGTTCAGTTGTTTGATCCGCCAGCTTGGCCACGCGGATGTAAGGAATTTCGGGCAAGAATACCTACCATAAGGATTGGAAAGAATGGAGGACCTCAAAACACCACATCCAACGATTACCAAAATCAAATCAAGGGTCAGATCAACAACTACAGCACACCTACCACCAAACGCACTGACTGGATATGAATAACTTTGTTCCTGAAGGTTCTTGTTTCCTGGTTCAAGTTCAGGCCAATCGAGTTTCAGTAGAAGCAGAAAACTCAACTCTACGGCGAGTAATAGAAGGGAAATATTTGATGGTTCGATTCTCATTCTTTGAAAGAGATCATGAACGAGATCAATGTCTCGCATCCATTTTGATTGGCTTCTTCTGGATGGGATGGTTGGCTAAATGCTTAGGGACTTTTTTTGTTTTCTTTGTTTATCTCTTTCTTTCTGAGCTTCTTGTGAGAATCTTCTAGTTGAAGCCAATATTTGAAGTTTGGTTGGTTACAACTCAGCTCGAATGTACGTTCTCGAGTAATTTGAGATTTACGTTTTACCTTCCTGACATATTCCCCTGTTGAAGCCATTATATTTAAGCGAGGGGTATTTGCTCGACGCTGTGATTGTGATTTTAGATGCATATAAAATGGCTTTCCTGCAACGATCGCCATTCCTGTAGCTGATGTGACTATTAGTAGCCCAAAACCCGATGGCAGTTTGCCGCTTTCTTGCAGGCAACAGTAATGTTCTATTTTTGTATGGAATTTGGTACGGTTGCCCAATTCATGTTCATGATTCAGCTATTATTTGTTCTTCAAATTAACCTAAACTGCGATGGTTCCCATTCGTGTTTACTGAGCACCTTTTTTGGCTGCATTTTACCATTATCAACTCGCATTCAATAATCATGGCTCCGGCCAAAACGATTTTGAGTTTGTGGATTCAAAGACCGTCAGATTCGATTATTTCAAAAGTCGAAGCCCTTGCACCTCCTCTGCATGACTCTCAACTTTATAAATGCCATAGCTATTGCTACAATTATTCTTTCATGCAGGTGACACGTGGGTCTCGCATTCTCGCATTTATCAACAGATGTTAGCTACTCAGCAATTAATTCAAACATTGGCTGCAGTGATGAGAACAAAGATGGTGCCCCAGTGGAAGCTCGCTTGATGCTGATTTTCACTACTGGACTCCTATACGTTTCGAGCCTTGAAACTCATTTTGTAATTGTGCCGATTAAGGGAATCATCAGGGCAATCGTTTTTTCAACCTTAGCCCCCATTCACCGTTCCATGCTCAAAAGGAATGGCGTATTGAGTGGAATCTTATTGCTGTATTCACAGTCACCGATGTATAAGTGTTCATTGGCATGATCTTGGCTTTTATCTAGCATATCGCAAAATTCTACGTCCATACGAAAAAGGTTTCTCAAAGGTTGGATCGACGTTTATATCTTGTATTTGCTGTAGATATGGGAGGGCGGGATCTGGTGAGGAATCTGAGAAGTACCATGTAAAGACTATCTAATATTTGATCTAAAAGCACTGAACCCGATACATAATATATACATATATTCATGTGGTGTCTCCAATTTCATTATCTCAAGAATTCGATTGTCGGTGATGTTTTTGTTTAATGAGATTTTGGTCAACCATAATTTTTTATTGTATGACATTTTCAAGTATATTATCTTTGTTAGATTTTAGTCCCGATTACTCATCAATATATCTACGAAACCCCTTTGTTACAGTAAATTGTTACAGTAAACGGTAGTACAAAGAGCAGAGTAGGAGATTGCCAAGACCATTAGACTGCGCGTGATAGTATATAATTCATTCGATCAATTCTGGAATCAGGAAATATCATAAATTCGCCGCTGGCATTCTTCAACTTCCATACATAGTAATAGGAATATCAGCTAAAACTTGTATCCACAAGCACTGATGTAATGCTGTGTTGGAATATTTACATCTTGTTGGAATATAGCAAAATATCTCTTTACATCAGAGACAAGACTGAGATATTCAATGGCTGTATTGGTACACGGATCTTTTTTGGTTATAGATGTACACCATTAGGACCTAGTGGGGGTGTTACAGGGAGAGTAGTCAAGTAATGAAATATCTGGACAGATCGGGGGGTGCTTGAAAAAGGTAAGAGATTTGGGAAGCTATGTCCGTGTCTCGATATTACAATGTGAAGTAGAAATATTGGATCCTATTCATAGAGCTTATCTTCTTATGGATAACAGGCTACAAGAAATCTTGGCGGAGTTGCTTATTATAGATTTGGACTACCCTATATTAAAGATTAGGATGGCATTTTCCGCAAATACTCGAGTCTCAAGGTAAGTTCCGGGGTTATCCATGCTATTTTAGCTTATTCGCAGGAGATCTAGCATACTCAAACTACTGCTCCTTTATTATGACTTTCAGACAGGTGATTTGAATGAAGGCGATTGTTTCAGTCAGCTGTATGTCGCGAAAATGTTGTTCTCCTCTCTGGCATCTTCCGAGCATGAAGCTGAGTAGCCCGGCTGATCGGCAACCCTGGCAGATATTTTCCCTCATTTATCTATTTGTTTTCCAAAGTCTAATCACCTCATGTCAAAGGCTCAACCATGACTTTCTTTATTGTTCCGTGAGTACCATTTCTTATAAGTCAACACGCCTCCGATCTCAAGTTATCGAGACTTTCTCGCGTCAAATGCCTTCCTGGTCACCTAACTCGAACCTTTAGAGTTTTGTTACCAATATATTCTTCAGTCTGATCACAATATCTGTTTAACTCCTGACTTCAGTCAATAGTATTAGATCCATTCAGCATGTTTTTAAAACGTGTCGAGAATGCCACAGCAGCCGGCTTTGATATTACACAATTGCCGAAGTCGGTTCTTTCGCAGATTGGATCCATCCCTCCCCCACCAGGTGTCACACCCAACTTCATAGACCCAGCTACTATAAGTCCAATTTTTATAGTGACTTCATCCATTGGGATGGCGATTACGATGATATGCATTTATATTAGAGGATGGACGATATTAAGAAGTGCACGACCTATAAGATTGGCCTGGAGCGACTTAACATTCACCATCGCCATCTTGTCTACTATAATTGTATTTGTCGCCGGGATAATGGTATCCATTAGAGGGGGAGCTATCGGGTTTCATCAATGGAACGTATCTTTATCAAGCATATTCACACGACGATATATTGTCCCTTTAGTTCTAACTACCTGTTTTCCATCTTTGGCACTAGGCTTTATAAAGGTCACTATATTTTTGACCTACATCGAGCTTTTCACTGGTGTAAAATGGATCCGGATCTCATGTGCCATCGGCGCTTTGATAACTGGGGCCTTTTATACAGCTATATTTATAACTGCGTGTATACTCGAGTTTCCGCATGGAAATGAAACATTTGTTTCAAACCTCATCTCAAAAGAGTATCATCGCGTAAAAATAATAAACATTCCGGGGGGGTGTGTAGGGTTAGCAGTCGATATATATCTTTTCATTATACCAATGATTGCAGTGAGCAGACTCAAAGGGCTGAGGCATCGGAAGAAAATCGGTACAGCATTGATATTCGCTACTGGGTTCTTGTAAGTTGGCCCTGAAAAGAGATACAGACATGAGAGCACAGACATTAACACAAATCTCAGGGCCATTATAGCTTCGATCTTGAGTATTGTTTATAGGGTGATCCTCAACAGAACTGTTGATTATACATGGTATCTTGTTCCTTTGTATACAGTTATGACCGCAGAACTGTATATCGGTGTCATTATTGCATGTACACCACACATTGCAAAGTTTATTCGAAGGTACGAGAAGGCTTTCTCAGAGGCTGGTTCAGTAATCGCATTTTACTTGTGTTGCAAACCACTCTCGAGAAAAGGAACAGAGTCGAAGGAATCTAGAAAGAGTAGTGAGATATCTGACACAATCGAATCGGCGAGACCGATGAAGTCTGCGAAATTATATCCGGGTCTCGATGTTACAACTGTGGGTGGAACCTTTGGGGGAACTGTGGGGGGAACCGAGATTGATAGCACGGATGAAGAGATTGACAGGGAGCATTTCGCAGCAGAGCAACACCTAGCGGCGCAATACCCAGCAGAGGTTCATTGGGCGGAGCGCCAGAAAGAAATGCAGGAAAGATTTTGTGACGGGGTGGAGGCGGATTCCAGCTAATTTAGTTTGGGGAAAAATCCTAAATCTGCTGGTATGGCAGTCTAAAGGGTTATGGGTTCTTAAGAAAATACCAAGTCATCCTATATGACTATGTTTCCATTGCCCCCCTCTCTCATCTTGAATATTCCCCCTCGTGAAAATAATGTCAATAAAATTGTTTTACAATCTATCATAGTGTTCTTTGTTTAATTCAAGCCACGAATTCATTTAGTATGTATTGATTTAAAAATTGTGTGGATGCTTTCATTTTGCGTTCTCCATTATGAAAGTGATTCGTTGGCTGTTTTCAGACAAAGAACTACTAAATTACTAACTTGAATATTTTTAAGAACACACTCGACAAAATATGTACGAGGTACAGAAATGACCTTTGAAGCTTGAATTGAAGCCAAACCAAACCACAAGGTAGGGCAGAGATTAGAGATATAAAATAGTCATCGGTATCTGCCAAATGACCGAGACAGTTCATACGGTCTTTCTATTATATAGATATTGAAATATAGTCCACGTCCAAGGTCAATTGCAATTTCCACAGTTTTGCGGTTGACTGAGACGCCCTCTATACGCCGGAGGGTATTCACGGCATGGCAGTCGCACAAGCTACCTCTCAGTAACCCGTTGATGATGAAGCAAGAGCAATTGGAAGGGTTAACTATGATACTACGGGTCAATTGCTATCACCAAGTAAGAAATCACAAACCTTTCACCCACATTTACAATCATGAACAACTACTAATTTACATTTCCACTTTCAGGCGAAGAATCTCGCTACACTTTTGGCTGGACAGACCTTGCGAAGAAGTACAGCCGACCTGTAGGAAAGTTTGCATCTCTCGACCACCGAGTTCTAGGCGACGGCGGGAAGAGCGGATTGACACCTAGAGTGCCGGCTTCGAAATCTGATGACGGTAAAGGGAAAGGTAAAGGGAAAGGGAAACGTCGGTGGAGTGAATCTTTGGAAGGGTTAGAAATCTATCAGAGAAAAGATTCAACGGCTTCACGACCTTTGATCTTCATTCTATGCAAGCTTTGGCAGCCTTAGACACAAACATATACATCCATGGCCTCGAGAACCCCATTCATCCTTGTTTTGAGAGAAGTAAATGGGTAGTAGAAAATGACATGCCGAAACACAAGGGGGCTATACCGATTCTTGGACGAGAGGAAGGATTTTGGATGGTGAGTATCTGCGTCGGAGCTGACAAATTCAATTTTTCTTGGTATGAACCCCATCATTTGGTTTAAACTGATAATTCTCTTTGCTAGGCGGATAATCCTGTTGTCTGGAACCTATTGAAACCTTGCTTACAGCTAGCAACGCTGATGTTGCACAATGAATGCAAATATTCGTGGTATGTGCCAGTCCAACTCCAATAATAGCATTCCGCGCTGAATATATTCTTAGGCTAGACGCACTTTTGAACGTCAACTATGACGATGTACCTAATAGTCCCGAAGGAATGAAACTACAACGATTCTTCTCAAGAACGCATGAGGAAAGGACAAAACAGTTGCCGCAAACCCTTGAAAAGCTAATTCAAGATCTAACCAATGTAGTTATATTCGGGTTTAACAGCGGATATGAGGATGTTGAAACTGGTCTACCTAGTCTTCGCACAAGTCGCAATGCAATAACAGGAGATCATTCCATGTATGATAGGATTAAGGTATTAATTTCCACAGAGATGGCGCAACCTCTACTAAGAGATGACTTGACGGATGCTGAGAAGTATGTCGTTTGGAACGTGAAATTGTCGTCGCATTTTAACATATTTACAGAATGGGGAATCGGTTGAGGATTGCTACTACATTCGTCCATGAGTTTGCGGTAAGTTGTTTGATCAATTCCAGATACTCACTGGAGCTTCTTTTCTAACGTGAAGCATGAGCTAGCATGCTATACGGAGATCCATCATTAACAAGAAAGACGATTGTGCGGATAAAGTAGCCGAGGGCGCAAATGAGCCTTATTTCGAAGATGAACCTCTCGCGGAGCTAGGATATTCGTTTATTGAAAATTTAAGCCCCCCAATATTTAATCAGGTACCGAAATCTAATGTTATGAATAGATCTGGGGAGGTCAGCCTACGCCACTCATCACTCAAATATATAATCGTGGTGGTCCCGGTCTTCCTAATCTCGGAATCATCAAGACCAGCTGGTTCACTGATAAAAACAAAGACTACCAAACATCGAGAAAAGCCCCGCCGCTGATTCGGAAACCAAAAAGAGGTCAGGTTGATCGCTTCTACATATACGATTATTGGCCCGTACCAACATCGTGGTATGGAACTCTTCTCACTGAAGCGTTCTGGGGAAATGTTAGGGAATTTGGCCCTGAGGCAAAGAAGATGAGAATAGAGAAGTTAGGAGTAAGGTTCCTCTCAACGGAGCATCCTGACGCAAAAGCTCAGATAGATGATGGTGGTATTAACATTGGGGGTGGATGGTCATATGGAGCACCTCAAACAAGGAGCCAAACTGAAAGATTCAGGACTAAGAGCAAAATATCAACGATACTCTCTAAACAACTTGATGGTGTCAAAGCAAGAGAGGATCACGATCCACTAGACCAGTGGAATGTGAGACCGCCAATAGTCACGTATTCATGTCCTAGGTGGAGCGACATCGCCGAATACTTATTCAATAACCGTGGACCATTGGACTTGGGGTTAGATAGTATGGAGATACTATCAATACCAACCTTTTATCGATATGTTAGATACCATGGAGATATCGACCTCACCTCCATGGAGTTCCGGGGGTTTTTAGGCGTTGCTAATGAGAGGCGAGAGTTGTTTTTGTCAGTTTGATCTACCATCATTTTTATTGACTGCATACCGTCAACCCATGGACAAATGGACATAGCTAACCACAATCCTTATAGATGGGAACCATTTCCCGGATTCGGGGTAGTAAAACGTATTGCAACAGGTTGGCCGCCTCTAAATCCTGGGTCCGATTCTATATCTTGGCCGTCGCCTATCGGCGAGCCAGACGAAGAAGATATAGATACCTTAGATAATCTGATGTCGGATCAAGCAGTCCAAGAAGCGCTGTAGAAATTTGTGGTGAGTGTAGAGACCTGAATATGGAAATTTTTAGAAAGTGGCTGGTGCATCGATTTGAAGCACAGGAATTCAACGGCGAGGATGCGGTGGAGGACTTTCGAGATATAATTTGGGAGACTGTGCGGCGAGATGGTGCATATTTCACGTAAGTAACAATCCTTTTTTGATAAAACCAAAAAAATGTGAAGGTGACATGGATGTTATTAGATACCTAGTAGCTTTTGCTAATCAGTCTGTGACAATTAGACTTGGTCCAAAGAACATTGTACGTTGTATTTATCCCATAATGGATATTAGAGACGAGAAAGCAAATGCTTTTACGAAAGAGAGGATGAAAATGTTGGAAGAGAGAGCAGAGAGTGCTACATCCAAGGTTTGACTCGCATGAGACTTAGTAGAGAAAGCTCTAGACGAAGTTTGGTGACCAAAGTTGTGAAATGAATCCTCTATTTACCTGAGTTTCGATGAAGAAACACAAGTTTGGTTATTCAGTGCACGGCCACAAAAACTTTTGCCAGTTCATAGAATATGGAAAGACCCCATTTCTGCTTCTTTGGTTAAGGCGTTGTGCTATAGCATAAGCTGCCTTAATAGAACTCATTCTGCTTATTCCGTAGCTAGGATGACTAAGCTCGTGAAAGATGCTAAGGAAAGTCTGAAGGAGTTGTATTGTTTGGAAATCTGAATATTCTTTCGGATGAAACCATTGTCTTCTCGGGTCAGGTATGAGATGAGTAATGTAGAGGCATGTGCTAGGAATGTCTCCTTTGATCAATTTGTTGTATTACGGCTTGCATCTGGATGGCCAAATGATTGCTATATTAAAATATCTGAATTCCAAACCCTACCTCAGTTAGCCCGAAATGAAATAAAGAAACGTAATTTGAACTCATAGGTATTTGCGAGGAGAGAGGTAAAAGGTCTTAACAGTACGAAAATGTAATTGTCAAATGACTATCTGAGTCCGACTCGAGCCCTGGGTATATGAGCATGTGAACGCCAGCTTGACGCAAAGATTCCTAACGTGAACAGAACAAATTATCGTGAGACCCCTAAATATCTAGTAGATAGAGCCGCATATCAATCTCAAAACCTTTATGAGCTAAGCTTTGAAAAACTTCGCCAAGGTGCCATTGACTTCAACTATATCCCATTTGTATGGATCTAGTCCCTTAGGATCACCATTGGCACAAGAGTCCTTATACCAGTCTTTCCTCGGATCGGCCTTCCTACCTTTGAAAACTTTTTTAAGGTCCTCCCATCCAGGTTCACCGCCACAATCCTCGGCGCATGGATGACCCTAAATTAGTTCAGCGCAGCAATTCAAAGGAGATCGAGTAACATACCTCACCTGCCATGCAAACGACCTTCAACTTATCAGGGATAAGCATAGCTTTCCTAACATTTTTATTCTCCTTTCCTAAGAATATAATCTCATGCTCCCAACTGTCACCATGATCATACTCGTATTGTATTTCTACAGCTCCATATTTATGGCTTTCGTAAGCATCCCTAAGTGTGATGTTGGCACATGCCTTAAATTCGATATCTGGGTCGTTAAAGTTTTCAGACATCATGTCACAAAGATCATCATCCATTTGGATGCTCAAAACTTGCTTTCCGCGTATTCCATAGCTTCTGAGTTGCTAAATCAATGGGTCGTCAGTCAACAGTTTCAAGGAAAGAAGAAAGAGGTCAGAATACACAACAAATAGAGACAATAACATTACATCTGCTTTGGGATCATTTTCAAATGGTTTCGTGCCGGTAAAATGAAATGCATGGCAGCCTGCTCATCTAAATGCAATTTGCAGAATTTGGTGTAGTTGTGAGAATGAATAAGTCGAGGGGACGGAAAGAAGCCGTGTAATAGTGGGATCATTACTGCTTGTGAGGCGGACGAGGAGCAGGTAGGTTTAGTAAGTGTCTGATAGTTTTGTTAAAATTAAATTATGGAAGAATATACGTTTGGATTGTTGGCAGATTCGGGATTTGATAATGAAGCTTCAGCTTCTGATTCCGTGGCGTTTTTGTTGAGCAACTCCTTTGATCCAGTTACATTTTGCTTGATTTGTTTGTGAGTTTCAGTAGGCTTCTTCGATTTATCGAGGGGATCTGTACGAGAAGTCGTACTGCGGGTTTTCGTAATTTTCGGCATGGATTGCTTAAGGATAACGCGGTCGAGAATCAGTAAATCGCGTAAAGTCAAGCGGTCACGTGTTATCGCTTTAGATCTTCTTGGATCCTCTTTGTTCAAACCTTTGTTCTATTTGAGAATTAGCAGAATCATGAAAGAAACACTTTTTTCTTTGATATATACAACTACCAAGGAACAATAGTATTGTTTCACTATATACTCGAGTAATCAGTTAAATGATTACAACCACATTATACGCTTTACTCATTACATTTTCAATCATTTTACACATACCTTCTTCATTCTTATTAGACACAGTCAAGATGTCCTCAAAAACCGAATCTAAAATCCCATCAAATAAGGCTGAAACAAGCCTTACATTTGGTCTTGAGCTTGAATTCATCTTGGTAACAGTAGATGAAAATACCTCTGATCCCCATCCATCCGATCCTCGCTGATAAACGGCGAGGTATTAACTGATATCGAAGATATCAATTTTGAGATTCAAAAAAGATTAGAGGCTATTGGCATTCCATCAGTACTTGATGGCGATGATCATGAAGTCACAGAAGAGGAATATCAAACCTGTTGGACCTTGAAAGACGACCTCACAATTGGAGAGGGGGAAGGGGTTGACAGTAAGAAGTTGGACAAACGCTATGTGATAAACGGCATGGAGATGGCATCTCCCCCTTATTACTACAGCGAAGCTGCACGGAAAGAGATCCAAAAGGTTCTGAAAACAGTAAGAAATAATTATAGAGTCTGCGTTGACCAGTCTACAGGCTTACATGTTCACGTAGGTAATTCGTACAACGGTCTTCAATTTCCAAAACTCCGTAACCTAATGGCTATTGCGTATACTTATGAGCTGCAAATGTTACTGATACTTCCTCAAGAGCGTGCTTCAGGGAACTGGTGCCCCCCTCTTTCAAAATCTAAATTTGGTTGGAAAAATCCTGATCTTACGCGCCTTGAAACTTTCGAAAATATCTTAGATTACACTGACAATCACTCACTACTCGAAGATTTTGGTGAACACCTGGTTGCCCGTTTGGCGTTCAATATTGAAGGTCTCAGGACCCCTTATGAAAGTGGCAGACGCACTATAGAATTTCGACACCACCATGGCACTCTCGATCCTGATGCTATTCTCAATTGGATACACGTGTGTATCAAGTTCGTCGAGAAAGCATGTTTTGCCAACGATGATGAACTCTTCAAGCAACTACGACAAGATGTCTCGAAACCAATCGGATTTGGCGATGGGGAGCTCAGTACTGTCGATTTTCTCATGTGGCTCGGCTGTCCATCTCAAGCGTATTACTATGGTATCGGTATGGTATCGAACAAAGATGCGATTGTGGAGAGGATTAAACAAGATAAAATAGAACATGAAAGACATCTCGAACAAGCTCGCACCTACCTCGAGAGAGAATGCCAACAAGAGGAAGAGGACCTCGAGAGAAAACGCCGACAAGAGGAAGAGGAAGGAGAAGAGGAAGAGGAAGAAGAAGAGGAAGGGGAAGACTCGGAGGAAGAGGAGTCCTCGTCATCAGAAGCTTCTTCAGCCTGAGGGTCAAAGGTCAATCATTGAATCCCCTCCGCCGAGAAAGATAGTTTCAATGGACTACCAAGTCAGAAGATAAGGACGAAGATAATGAAGACGGCAACGACAACGATATCCAGAATGACCGCATAGAATTCCCTTTCAAGTTGCATCGAATAATCATAAGAAGTAAGTCGTCGTCATTTTTAACTTCAATTCACTCTCAATTATTTCGCTAATAGACGGACAATTTAATACAAATAACAAATTATATAAGATAAGTTTTATATTTCTTTTGATAATAGATTACTCTCATACTACTAAAGTGAATTTTATTACTCTTATACTACCCGAGTACAAAAATATTATATCAAAACCTCAACGCCTGGGTACGCCTCCGCTCGCCCTTCAAGTTATCCAATACTGTGCTGTCATGTCACGCCCTGATATACCCCGCCCGCTGTGCCCCGTCAAGCCCTGTCACGCACTTATCCAATCCAATCCAATCCAGTCCAGTTCATTCCAGTCTAGTCCAGTATATATAATATATAATATACCAGACAACCAACACCGACACCGACAAACACCGACGAAACGTGAAGAAACCTGCACAAATCTCCATCCCAATCCCCATCCAAATCCAAATCCAAATATCCTCCCAATCCAATTCCAATCACAAACCCAATCCAAACACTTCTCTGTTACCGCTACCACTACCACTACCACTAACGCCTTCCAATTTCCATTTTCATATTTTCTCGTGGTTCTCGCTAAATTCAAACCCCTCCTTCTCTCCCTTGAGTTTGCTATTTATTACAAAGGGAAAAAGGAGATGAGATGACAAAAGAAAAGAAAAGAAAAGAAAAATATATGAGGTATCGTGAGGTAAAGTAAAGTAAGATAACGTTAAATATAAGAAAAGAGTGATGGTGATGGTGATGCTACAGAAAATAAGTAAGTAAATAAGTAACGTTAAGAAAATTGATGTGAATGTACTTGAGTATATATATATATTGTTAATACATATATCTCTGCAAAAACATGTACCGAGATATGAAAATACAACGCGATGATAACCTCTTCATCTCTCCAAAAGCCCCCCCACATCCTGAAAACTTAAATTCGACTGCTGTCTACCCAAATCATCGATGGGTGGAGCTTGAGCTTGAGCTTGAGAATGATCATGGGAAAGAGAAAGAGAAAAAGATTGAGAAACAGTATTGGCTTGACTCGGATGACTTGGAGAACTCTTCGTCGTCATGCGATCCTGCATAATCGTCTCGAGTTCATAGCCCGTACTCGAATAACGATGAATTCTCGTCCTCGGACCCAATAATCCCCCAATATCTTGCAGGAGAGCAGCGGAGCCACGTGTTGGTGGTGCGGGGCTGAGTCCATTTTCATACGACCAGGTGGTGGAGACGGGGCCTCCGCTTTGCGTGCTGGATTCCCCGGTATATTCTGTATCCATAGTGCGGGTCGAACTCACTCTTCTCGGGGGATCTTGATCGAGGAGACCTCCGACGTCGAAAAATGACACGCGGCGTGGAGACATCATCGAGGTTAAATCTTCGGAGACGTGACGAGAAGGATGGGATTTGACGAAATCATTTTCTTCGCTTGTATCACTTGGAAATCGCCACTCGCTCGAACTATTCGAACCAAATCGATGGCTTCGAACCGGCATGTTTCCCGCCACGGCCATGGGGGCCGGACGTGGAGCTGATTCGATGTGGCCTCTTAATTCTGGATCTACACCGAGTCCTAAATCTCTCACGAGATCTTCATCACTTCCCCATTGACGGGCGGCGGTTCCGCGCCGTGACGTCGTACGCTCGAGTGTATCGGTGAGGGAACCAAATTTCCACTTTTGTTTCTTGACGCCTCGGTCTCGAACGAATGAGCCGAGAATGAGTGCATTGGCGACAGCGGTTGCGAAGAGAATCTCGACCGAGGCTAATAAGGATCGATATTGTTGTATGCCATGTCTATCGATGATTTCCGGAATTCGATAAAGTGTGATTCCAGCTGGTATTAATGAACCGGCGAATAACAAGACCAATTGAATTTTCTTCTTTATCCTCATGGTCGAACCAATGATGATAGGGACTGGAAATAAAACGAGGAGGAAATCAGTCAATACATTGACAGTTCCCATGGTAAGGAGTTGTGCGTATCCTTGACGACATTTTGCTCCTGGATCGGGCGTGACCTGCCAGTAATGACTGATCGGTTGACATTCCGAGATATCTGCTATTATCACGGCGATGAATGTGACGAGAAGAAACCATCGGATGAATATCAACGTTCGTTCGTGTGACCTCGTCCAAATATTAATTGTGAGTCTTTTGAAGAATTCACTAATGGTAAGTTTAAGCATCCAAAGTCTAGAAATATGTTAGTAGCTGAATTGAGTTTAATTACTCAAAATGAAAAGTAGAGACGAGAGAGAGTGAGAGAGTGAGAGAGCTTGTAATAAACTTACGTCGCAGCATAAAATATCCTAGATACCAATACCAATCTACTCCCAATCGCTCTTCGATATAAAGCTCTCTCTGAAAAATCCTCAATTACCGCATTATTAGTTCCATATAACAAAACCACATGAACCAATGCCATACGACCAAACAAAGGAATGAGACAAGCAAAAGCCAACCAATCTTCTTTAAACAATTTCTCCGTCCTTATATATCGTCCACAAACCCTAAACAATATGATAACGGCGGCAAATAACGTACACCACCAACAAACCAAAAGGGTAGGTTTATCGTCGAGGAAGCTTCGAGCTGGCGGTGGATTGGAATATATGGACATGATGAATGTGACTTTCTTTTAGTGAAGGTAAAGGGCCCAGACGAACGAGTACCACGCCCGTCTACCTCCGTGGAGGGGACGAGCGAGGATGGATTGTTCTTCGCGGGTTTGGGGGTGCACCACAGTTCAATGGATGATGATGATTATGATGATGATGATAGTAGATGTTGTATTGTGTTGGTTCAATTGTATATATTTCCATGGAATATCCTTAGATTCCGTCGCGAACGTTCTCGACAATTATTGCGCATGGACCGTCGCATGACAGGAATAGAAGGGATGGGATGGAGACTCGAAGTCGAGTATTCCGGGGTTCCTTTTGGAGGGGGGATAATAGGGCTGGGGTTTACTGTAACGAACGATGGTTTCTTTTCTCCCTTGGGTTATTATCTTTTTTTATAATGTTCTGGAAGCTTGTATGGCGATACAATGTGGAACAATGGCGGAGGATATCCGGAGGATTCGAAGATTGATATCGATAGATGATTGATAGTTCAATGTGATAGATAGATATTCGTATATATTCGAATAGATAAAGTTAGAGTTGTTTAGAGCTTTCGTTATACTTTTAACAGGAATATCCAGGAAGAGGAGTGGAGTAACAATGGCGGAGGATATCCTGAGGATTTGAAGATTGATATCGGTAGATGATTGTATATACTCGAGTAGATAAAGTTAAAGTTGTTCAGAGCTCGTAGTACTCTTACTAGAAATATCCAAGAAGAGGAGTGGAGTTGATCGAGGGGTATAGAAGTTTCCAAGACTATTCAAGTAAAGTCAAAGTGATTATCTGCAGAAGTTGGTGAGAGACGGTGAAGGATATGTCGGTATGGTATGGGGTAACCTTGAATTCTCATACAGATACAGATAGATTATCGTACAGGGCTGGATGTTTGATTGACTCGGACTCGGGGCTGACTCTGGATGAAAGAATTGGGGAAGAGAGATATGGGGTTTTTTCGCAAATTTAGTTAGTATATGTATTGATATTATTTGGAATATATATTAAATGTATATAACCTTATTACTCGCATTGTTACATATACTTACTTATTTATTTGCTAGCTTTACAATTCATCACTGCTATAATCAATATCCCGGGCATTTATTATCAGTTCAAGATGGGGGTACAAAACAGAAATTACAGGGTAAAAAGATAAGAAATCTTTCAGCCACTGACCCACTGGAATAAATTTGTCTGGTTAATGGATGGGATGGCCAAATATTGAAGTTGTTGGTGGCTATATCATATCAATATTCCTGAAACAGAAAGCTTTAAATATCATAATGAATTAAACTTCAACTAGGAAACGCGGCATTGTTATCCGTATCTATCTCTCCATGCCTTTCCATCTTTCCACATCTGTAACCGTACTCCGTATATCAATAAATGATCTACATAATCTATAGGATGGCTTGGATGAAAACACCGCGAAATTCGACGTTTTTTTTTATAATTGTTAAACCACTATTATTGGATCTAAACCATACGTCTGTAACAGTCCTGTGTTAGGGCTTGAACCAATAAATAGATATTGTATGTATGAAAATAAAAGTGGTGCCTGGAGCTGAGTCTCATTTCATTGTTGTTGTGGTACTCGTACAAGATCTCGAAGTCCTCGTACATTCATCGTATGGTAAAGAAGGAATGGGATTGTTAACAATATGCAATATGAGACACTGATTTGACTCGGGTTCTTTCCTAGGTAAAGTATGGATGGAAAGTAGGTAATCTCTAATCAACATTGACAAGGAAATACAATCCCTCTACTGTACCAAACTTCTTTTCTTCTCTCCTCTCCTCTCCCAATTCAATTCGATTGTACGCAGGAAAGAAGGAAGGAAGGAAGGAAGGAAGAAGCAGGAGACTGATATATATCAAATGAACTAATGATAAGGAATCCAGTACTCGAGTAACAGGTGAGAAATCTCTTTCTTGCATACAGATAGGTACTCGAGTACAGTACTGTAAATACAGATGAAGTTCCGAGAAAGAGGGCCAACTAATTGCGCAGGGATTAGATTAGCAAAGCATTGTTATGTAGACCGGTGTTGTCAGTGGTTGGATTGAACCGTTGTACCATATGAGGCAGGGGAACCACGCGTGGAGAGGAGCTACCGGTACAGTATATCAGGTGTGGAGGAAAAGACTTTTGGTTAATTATTAATTACTCGTAGAAGGACCTGACTGAGATGTGTGGAATTGGAATTGGATGGGAGGCTATTCGCAATGTAATGTATACTGTATAGTACATACTACACAAAACTTGGTAGGGCGAGGTGGAGATGTCAATATATAGGTATCGAAATAATTCCGGAAGGTTTGGGACGGAGAACAACATGAAATGAAAGGGTCCCAAGAGAATAAACAGACAATACAAGGTGCATATCTAATGCATAATCTTCCACCCACTATTCTCCAATCATGATTTGAGATTGGAGAATGGGAGGGAGGTTGGAGTCTGAAGACCCAGATATATCTATCATTCAGACGATATGATATCTATCAATCAATCAAGCCTAGGCTTTTTCACGATAATGAATTCGAAGAATTAGTCTGATAAGAGTTATTGGATTGGTGAGATGGATGGGCTCGCGTGTCAAATCTCCTGATGTGTATTAGTTTTTTTGCTGTGAAGTGTATGCGTGAGATACGATCCAGGTAAATTCGGTAAATGAATGATTGAATCATGGAAAACTCGGCATGTGGGGGAAATATATCGGAATAAGCGGCTATTCATAATCTCCTCCTGCGATGAATTATGAAACGTTCCCAATCTCAAACGTACGGAGCACCAACAAAGATGCTCAGCGGTAAACTACAAGCTACCGCATAATTTGGCATATCAACAATCTCCGCGATCTTCAGATTTGCTGCCACACTCGTAAGCATGTATGCTTCCTGTCTCTCCAATCCCTTCTCCCCTACCAACCAAGCTATCAATCCCCTCAAAGCCTTTCTACTTGCTTCTCTAAGATCACTATCAATACCCAATGCTGCATACTCTCCCTTATCCACCGTGATACTTTGAGGAGGAACCACGTAGTGAGGACTTTGAACCCATGGTTTAGCCTTCTCAACTGTCAAACGAATTGTAGCTTTCATAGGTGTCTCAATAGCCGTCCCACAAACTTCCCCATCTCCTTGCGCCGCATGACCATCTCCACAACTGAAGAGAGCACCTGGAACTTTGATGGGAAGGTAGAGAATAGATCCTTGAGTAATATATTTGCAATCGATATTCCCGCCCGTATCATAAGGAGGAATTGTAGAAAATGCACCCTCTTCTTCTCGCGCCACTCCTACTACACCCAGAAACGGTTTTATGGGAATATGGATTCCCTCTTTAAAAACCGCAAAATCCCGGCCTGTTGAAAGATCCCAGATCTTGAGATACGGATCTGGAAATTCATCGGCGAGTAAGCCGAATCCGAAGGAGCCGGGGAAACAGGCTGTCCAACCATAAGCTGCCGGTTTGAGAGATAAGAATTCGACTTTTAGAACATCGCCTGGTGAGGCATCGTTGACGTAGACGGGACCAAATGCGGGGTCACTATTTGCGAGATCAAAGTTGTGGACGGCGGTGATGTCTGAGGTGTCGGTGATTTGATTGGATCCTCCGTCTAGGAGATCAAATGATATTTCAGTGCCGGAGTTTATAGTCAAGGCGGGAGTGAGAGATTTGTCCCATTTCATGTGAATGTGTGTGGTGTTGATGTGGAATTTGTGCGCCATGATATAATGAGTTCAAGTTATGGATTAGTGATGAGTTAAAGTTTGATGCTCTAGTTCGGCTGAGATGATATAAAATATATACTAGATACTAATAACGATCAATAATAGAGATAGAATTCCGATCGATATATAATGATTTTATAAAAAGAATAAGAAATCTTTTATTTTATTATCCTTTTCAGATATGTTTAAATATATAGAATAGAATCTAATTACAAAAAACTAATCTATTTTATTATAATTTATAATCATTAACTAAAACAATTAGATTATAAATTTAAAAATTTAATATTATTATTATACAGTTATTTAGACTTTTGAAAAATCAAATAAAAATCAAGTGAGACTTGATAATTATCTAATAATTATTTTATATTCTAGATTATATAATTGTTTGATATTATACGATTGCTTAGACTCTATTGGAGAGAGCTAAGCCTACTATCTGACGATTAAGTATTGATCTACAATTATATTGGACGCGACCCCACCAAACTTTTTTATTTACAAGTGTTGTAAGGCTGCTTCCAAAACATCAAGCTTTTAAATTCTTACCAATATCCATCCAATATCATATCATGGTACTGTCAATGAGTATTGATGGCAAGAAGTACCTGTCTCTGGCAGTTTAATATCTTCTCAAAATCAAACCAAAAAGAATAAGTATCAATCTGCACTTCAAAAAGTATCTATCATCCACCTCCAACCCGTCAATCCACCCACAATAATCATCCAAGAGAAACGGGCGCCCACCTCAAAACAATTGACATCCCCTCAACCCAGAACCTCATAATGGATGCCGCAGAAGATGATAAAGATATTCGACTTCAAAGGGAATCGGGAGAACTCTTGGAGGATTTCAAACAATCCCTACATCCGTTCCTCTATAATGTTAACAATAAGGGACAACTACGAAGAAGAGTTCGCATAAGAGAAACAGAAAGATTGGCTGCACTGGTACTGCAATGATAGTCCCCTTCTCACTATATATGCTATTTGCTAAATTTCTTCACAGTTAGATGAATTTCAGGAGCTTCCTCAACTTCTTGATCCACATCTTCAACAACTAGTACCAAAACTAGCTAATGCCTTCCATGCCTCCATATCGAAACCACCTTCAAGGGCTTCCACGACTCATACCCAACTTCTCATCCCTCTACGAAAAGCTATCTGTATATTACTATACAAATTTTGTAAGGTTAGAGGAGAGAAAGTTATCGTCCATTTTCTGAGTACAGAAACCAGACACATTCATTTGTTACTTTCCGCTATCGAAAAAGGCACATTGGTGAATAATGATGCATACGAGACACCAGTAGATGAAGTATGGTCCTGGGAGGAACGATATATTACTTTACTATGGCTCTCGCAGTTGCTCATGGCACCTTTCGATCTCGATTCCTTGTCATCTACTCCTTCGCCTAGTGGCATTCTTTGTGTAATTCCCGGGCTCTACTTGCCAGTCAATGTTCCTGACGTGGCGTTACGATCCATTTTATTGGCTTTAAAGTATCTTTCGTCATCCGGAAAAGAGAAAGATGCCGCAAAAATTCTACTAGTGAGAGTTGTTCTCCGTAAAGACATGCGGGACCTCGGGCTCTTGCATTCTTTGGTAATGTGGACAATATCTGCTCTTCAATCAACTGACGCGAAACGGGATATACATTATATTAATGGCCTTTTGTCTTTCCTCTCTGGAGTTCTCGTGTCATCCATGGACACGGCTTACATGGAACCTTATTTGGATTCTATATTTCGAGCGAATCAGAAAATCATGGAAAAATCAGATCGTTCGTTTGCAGAAATTCACAATTCAGCCGTTACCATAAAATTAGCCATCAAAATCTTTCGTAGCACTACTTTGCTCAACTTACGTCCATCTTTTACACCCACATACGATATTCTGAATGAATCCGCTGAATTCATCTTCGAGATGCTATCGGATCTATCAACACCAGTTAGACTAGCTGCAAGTAAGGCATTAAGCGTCATCATTTTAAACATACACCCTCAAGATGCCCGTTCATTTGTGTCAACAATTATCGCCATGTTAACGCCTATCGCAGATGCTTTGACTTGGCATGGTCAAATCTTAACACTCTCACATCTGTTATATCGTCGATCAGCACCTCGTGAACAACTTGGTGAAATTGTTGCTCTTTTACTCAGGGCTCTATCATTCGAGCGGAAAACGTTATCTGGAAGCTCTACTGGAACCAATGTGCGAGATGCCGCAAACTTCGGAATATGGTCTCTAGCTCGACGCTACTCGACCGCGGAATTACAAAATATTAGCACTGAATCAAAAGAATTTGTTCATACCTGGGAGACCAAGACTACCATACAAATTTTGGCAACACACCTCGTTGTTTCTGCATGTTTGGATCCTGCTGGCAATATACGTCGAGGCTCATCTGCAGCACTTCAAGAGCTGATAGGTCGTCATCCAGGTACCATTATCGAAGCTCTGGACTTAGTGCAGATTGTTGATTATCATGCTGTGGCTCTTCGATCTCGAGGAATATTGGAAGTGGCAGTATCTGCCTCTTTTCTTGCTTACAGTACACAGCATGAAAAACAAAGGCACCACTATGGGGAGGCACTCCTCGAAGCACTGCGGGGTTGGCGTGGGATTGGCGATATTAACATTGTTACAAGGCGAAATTGTGCTGAAGCTTTCCGTTGTATCAATTTCTCCGTGGGGGACGTTAGCCACTCTAACACATATAAAAATGCTTATGAAACCATTTGTAGTCTCCAAGAACAACTCAAGAAACTCCAAAAACGTCAGGCTAACGAGCGACATGGACTACTCCTCTTTACGTCTGCAGCTATTCTTGAATATCCAAAGCTTTACACGGACGCTGGCACAACATTGGCTTCTATTGGTCCTTTCCAGCGAGTTTTGAGTATCCTTGAGATAATCAATCCATACGTTCAGGAAATGATAGACGGACAATATTACCGCCCTGCGCTGATTGCGGAAGCTTTGTGCTGTGTAATTTTCCATTCATTCCGTCTCTTTGGTATGTACATCATGCTCGAATGGCAGTATCAAACCCCGCATTCACCTGCAGCTAGTGAAATATTGAGATGGGTACGTCACTCGAAGACAAAAAATGTTCTCATGTTTAGATACGAGAAACCTTACTCGGAGCATATGATCGATTCCCCAATTAGTCCCTGGATTCGCATGTCTCTTGGCCCAAACAACACCCGCGGTGATCGTCGGTTCTGGAGACTTGCTGAAAGTTTTGTATCTACAGTCCTTGACATTGACCCTGCGATGTCGACTCTTTGGTCGGCTTGCGCTCGCAGGTTGTTTTTTTTGTCACCTCCTGGTCATCGGAGGTTGATGATTGATTCCTGGCTGGAGTGTATACGTAATTCAACCAAAGTGAGCACTGTTGAGCGAAACAGAAATCGGTTGAGATTCTCCGCCGCTTGGATTGCATTTTCGTTGGATCCAGCATACGAGGACGAAATCCGTATTGCAATTCATGGCAGTTGGAAGTCGACTGAGATTGTTTATGATCTTGAGACACGAATCGCATTGGTTTCATGCTTGGCAATAGAGAGCAATGCACCAGCGTCCCAAATCATTCAGTTTTGGGATATTATCTCCGATGGTCTCGATGACTACCACACCGATAATACACATGGTGATGTTGGCTCGCGAGTTCGGTTAGAAGCAATCAAAGGGGCAGGAATTCTATTATCGACGGAATTAGCACGGGGCCCTGCCAATGAGAAAGTCTTTTCAACTATATTTGGTAAGGTTTTGAGACTTTGCACAGAGAGGTTGGATAAGGTGCGAACGGAGGCCAAGAAAGCTATTCTGTCAATTCTTGTATCAAGGTTCGTTTGTTCTTTTCCAAATTTCCCTCCAACTTCTAACTATACCTTCAAAATAGCCCCGAGACTTCATCTTTCGAGCAAAGTTCGATCTCTTCGTATGAACATTTTCGATTCATACTGGATTTACAAACTACGGATCGCCAAATTACAACGATTCCCAAATCTCCGTGGCGGACTTCATGGACAGATAGGTTGTTAGAGGGTTATGTAACCTCAGCACATGGAGGAACTGAAGATTTAGTACGCCTTAGTCGCGCCGCTTTGATTGACTTTTGTGCAATGGACCAAAAAAATAGTGAATGCATTGGCCCGTCTCTGGTTAGAAATCTGGAAACTCATCACCGCGAGAACGATAGAGTGATTATTCCTACATTAGAAATCACCGCACTCTTACTAGACATGGGACTTATGTATAAATTCTACCCTATCTTGTAAGTATATCGTTTAATATTCTCGTCGGATTGGCTTTATTTGCTAACTAATATACAGTCATTACCGAACGCTCTGCACCCTGATTGCAAAGGAAGCTATCAATTCAAGAATCGACAAGTGTAAAGCGGCGGCCAAATGTTTTGGACGTCTCACGCTGGCGTATCCGAATGCCATAGATAGATTGTTAAAAATGCTTTGGCATAATTACCCGACCGTCAGGGTGGCAGCGGTGGATGAATTGTGGGATCTGGGGATTACGTGTGTGAAAGGCAGGGACTTCAAGTTTATGGAAAATAAACCATCAGGTGAGTTTGGTAAGGAACTTTATCGGCAATGCATGGAGTTGGGTTTTAAGGATGGAGCGATTGTCAAGGAACTTGGGAAGTTGTGTGTTTGAGGAGTGGGATTATTGGAAGGAGGGTGGGTGAAAAGAGGAGAGACGAGGAGAGACGAAGAGGATTGAATAGGGCATTTTTAGGATCGTACATCCGCAAAAAAAAAAAGTAAATATAGTACCAGGTGGCGCCAACATAAGCTTTGGCGGTTTAGGTGTAGATCGCTTATTTTGGTACCAATAGCACCCCTGCAAAAAGATTTTGGCACCCTTTTGGCACCCCTGGCACCCCTTGGCACCCCTGGTATTCTCTAATATTATTAATATTCTATATAAATTATTTTGGTATCAAAAGTGTATCAATAGCATTTTATATAAATCATTTTGGCATCAAAAATATATTAATAATACTTTATACAAATTGTTTTGGTACCAAAATTATATTATTAATACTTTATATAAATTATTTTGGTATTTATCGGCAATCGTTTAGTATAGTATATCAACAATCTCTAAATCTGAAATCCTTGGCAGTTTTTTTTTGCAAATGTTATATCGAAGTTATTTCTTTTTTGATTTCTTTTCCTATTCAATTTCTTTTTGGAATTCTTAGGATTTAATATATACAAATATAATGTTTTATTTTCAACATTTCT